CCCGTATTGGAAGTTAGGATTCGACCAAAAGATTATGCGGCTTCGTATCGGCAGTATCCTGCTTGCGCATTCGTCGTATTCGATTCACCGGAGACGGTGCTAAAGGTTTTGGAAGTGGGAGACGTATACATCCGCGAGAAGCACAAGGTGAACGTCGAGGCTAAGAAGCCGTCCGAGGACGTTCGCAGCATGCGGGGCGGCGCCAGAGGTGGTGGCCATCGCTTCGACCAAGATCGTGGCGGGTTTTCTGGTGGCATGGGTTCACGCGGCGGCGGCATGGGAGGTAGAGGTGGAAGTGGAGGCGGTCCCGGTAGTAGGGGTATGTCGAGAGGTTCGGCGAGTGGTGGTGGGCGAAGTGGTCGCACTATTTATCCAACTGGTCGGTCGCAGCAGCAGGCACAACAGCAACAGCAGAACCAGTGAAGTCAACCGTCGCAGCCCACCCTCATCATCGTTGCTTAACTTGTTTTCTGATCACTACTCGAAGATGATACTGTCGATTTTTTAAATGCCAAAATATCAATTTATCGGCGCGTTTCTTTTGTGTCAGGAAGCGTCCACCGTTGCAACTACCTGTCGACCGACTGCTGACCATCTTTGAATGTACCACTACAATTGCCGGCTTCATTCAGTCTATTCATGCTCGTTTATCAACAGGCAAAAAAATTAGTTTGCTGTTCTGGATGCAAAGGCTTTCATGTAAATTCGTGCACAGTCTTTTTTCTTTCTTCAGATATTCCTGTGTCGCTCTGTAGTAGTTCTTGCTGGTACCCGATACGGATTTCAGGCACGAAGCCGATTTATGAGTTGTTCTGATGACTTGATCGTCTGATTTTTACACTCGTCGTCGTCGTCTGTGTTCTTCTGCTGCGTAGTTCTGTGCTGGATTGAATGGCTGGTGTCGTCGACGCTGTCCGCGTTGCGTTGCTTGGACAGTTTACCGAGGAGACTTGCAACTGACGTTTTAAATTTCTATTTTACTCATTTCAGTACTTAAAGGTGCCTATGAATACTGTACTTTCTACTCTACCTTCGTAGTTATGTACCGTGTTAGCAGTTTTGACGATCATGACAAAATCATATTTGCATTATTTTTTCATTGTAAGAGACCGTTTGGCCGCTGTTTCTTTTATTCCACTTTCTGGAGCTTTGTTTTAACATTAATTCTGTGATAATGGTAATACTTTTCTAGAACATTAAATTTCTCCTTATTTTGCCATTTGTCTTATAATTGCTTGAAATTTTACTTCGACTAGCCGGATCTTTTTTAGAATATCGGTCGCTGTTTTAAAGTTATAGATTATTTTCGGTAGTTGTCTGAAATCCACAGCATATTGTAGACGTCAAATATCCAAGCGCTTGCTCCGCTGCTGCATATTTCCTTTGAAATTTGTTCGTTTTCGTATGATGCTGATGGCAACGAAATGAACTCGGCATTCTTTCACCGTTGCAAGGTTTTGATGAATCACTTACTGGTCTGTTGAGTTGAACAACTGTTGACCTTCAAGTTATGCAATTGCTTTATACCTTGTTTGAACGCTTTTCTGAGGCAGTGGTTCAATTGGTCATTTTTGACTGTATGTCTGTAGGTAAAACAGGAAGCGACTTTTCTCAGGTAATTTTGCCAGTAGAGGAAGCTGAAAGTATTAGACGGCATTTACAATGAAAGTTTCATTCCCTTCGTTAATATCAGTTTCAGTTAGTCGGTATGCTTGTAAATATCATCCGGTGCCGTTTGTGGCAAAAAGTTCCTGGTTTATAACGTTTGCCGTCATGCTGCTTTTATGTAATAAAACCGTTTACTGCATTGTAGAGGGAGATTTTCTTTTATGAATCCATATCCGGCTTTAACGTCTGTCGTACTTCCCTTCTGGTCCATATTTTTTCCGCTCTCATCTGGCAAGTTCGCTGACTGCAGCGAGTTGATGTATGCTCAACTTGTTTAAAAAGTATAATTTTTTTCTTAACCTCCACATCTACTGGCATCACTTGTTTCTAGAATAAGAGTCATTCCTTTCGTGGTCCTGCCATTTAACACTCAATGTGCGTGGAAGCAACGTGTACCCTACAAAGTCCAATCATTGTTTTTTCTTTTAGAATAGCTTCCTCCGTACAGCAACACTAATCTGACGGAAATAGCAACCGGATTTTTGGGGAAATGGTTAATCCTTACAGCAAAATATTGAAGGGGATGCTAAAAGTAGCCAGACTAAGATGATCCTATTTAATAGATAAAACGATTAAGCGTTTTACCTCCCTGTTCCACTTGTAAATGAATATGTGGAATGAGTTGCTAAACTCACTTCCGAGTCCTAAAGAACAAACTCGTTTTCGCGATGTCACACGGAGGCAGTCGGTTGACGGCCGGTTCTGAATTACTCCTATTAATATATAACGTGCACTCTTTGTCAGTAAGTTTCTTCCAGATATTTTCAACCACGCTTTTTCTCTAAAATCAGCTTGCAATTTTCGTCAGTCAACGCTGTTTCAGATAATCCCAAGGCTATGTTGGATGCCACGGGTGAGCGTGCATCACTGAAAAACTGCAGTTTATAGAAAACCATTTGAACAGCTTTGCTGCGACTTTCGCAGCTGGCATTGTCGCGTTTTGATCACTTTCAAATTGGAAACGACGTGCTCAGGTATCCCAAGCTGTCTCACGATTATCCGCGTCGAATGCCTGATTATTACGTCAAAAGCAGCGTATAATTGAGCTAACCAGGAAATGAGCGTGTCTTGAATCGTTGGCAATGTTCAGTGATTCTACGAAAATTGAAATTTGTCGTCACGGGTTTCCCAAGAATCGCGAGAACTTTTTCCAACCCGGATTGAATGGCATATTGAACTGTACCTTTACTCCTTTTTAGCAGTAGTGTAGCTAGGTAATTTAGGCTTAAGGAGTTCCACTGTACATAGCACACTGCCCGTCGGACCTTTGTTATGCTGACGCGATTTTGCATATCAAATTTGTCATTTTACCCTGTGTTTCACTGATGACCACTAAAGATGTGCACTTATTGTCGTTAAATACACTGACTCTTTTATCTGGAGATTTAATGTAGATTTGTCTGACATGAAAGAATACCCGTTGGCGATGGTACATAGATTATACTGGAATTATTTGAGGATTGGTGGATCTTCTTTGATATTGCAACTACCAGTGTAAGTTCCCAAGACTTAAAAAATATGTAAGATTCATACACTTTGCTTTAAAAGGGTTAGTTCTGTATTATGATGGCTGAAGTTATTGAGATGTGGCACTTTATTTTCGTTTCCACTGGCACAGATGGCAAAATGCCATCAAGTATTTTTTAGAAACAGGACATTGTTGATATTTCGGGGCTGCATTTCGAAAATTGGATTTGCCCATGTGAAAGAAGTTACCGTCTAATATGAATTATTTTCTGCAATGCAAAAATACTAGTTTAATAATGACAGGTTTGAAAGAGTTGAATCGGTCCTCAGGTAGTAGGTTACGACATTTTAATGACATAAACTGAAATATTAATGTAAAAGGTTTAACATCGTAATAGGCATGAGCTTCCGTTCATTCAGTTTAATCTGTTTAATTTCCTTGCAGAACTTGAGACCTATGTGAATGCTGGGATTTTTTTCCAGTTGAAATTCTGACTATAACGTCAAATTATGAAATCATTGTGGAAAAACAGTGTGTAACAATGACATTGCGTCTCTGGTGAATATTAGGTTAATTTATTTTGATTAAGTTGTCAAAATATTCCAAGTGATTATAAAACTAAGATACGTATCAATGAAATTAGAAGTAATGCCATGGACGAGTTCTCGAGTTTGTGGACGTAGAAAAAGATTAGATCAATATTTAGGCAGACAAGACTTGTTGAACATTTATGACACTTATTCTAGTTTATCCATAGTCACCGTGGTGGTACCCATACCCACCATGATTTAAAGTTATTATTTAGTTTTAAGATTCAAGTATTTTAATTTGATTGGTACTTAAGTGGCTTAGTTAGGATTATGAAATGTTTAATGTCTTATATTACAGGTTTTATTAACTCTTTTTAACTTAAGGCGTCTGAATTTCTATGCAGAATAAAGCTTCAAGTATGCGGAAAGTCTTGATGGTGACGCTAAAGCTTAAGCCTTATTTGAAGAACAGTTGTCTAATCTTCGGAGTTTGACCTTTCTAAGGATTATCACTTTTTCATTACTACTACTGGAGGAGAGACTGTTAGAGCGCTTACTAATGAATGTTTTAATTTCTTTAAGGATGAAGCTATTAAGTTTCTTACGGTGTGCCACAATTTCTTGAACAAAGAGGTTACAATCTTCGCGGTGTAGTTCATGCAAAAAGTCATCGAAGTCTTCGCTGGAAGGGTTCTTTGAATCGCTGCTTATATTCTTGATTCGCTGATGCATGGTCCTTACCAGCCTTCTATGCGTAGCTTTAATTGTAAAAAAACGTTTTTTCGGCACTTGTGAAAGACATCTATATACAGAAGAATTTTTGGTCAAGTCGAAATTTCTGCATCTATAAAGATGGATTAGATTAGGACGCTTCGGATAAAGTCATAAAATTGTTTTTCAGTTATCTGGACAGCGATGATGCAAACAAACCAGAACAACACCGACTATATCAGAACATTGAGTAATTCGCTCGTTCGTCGATGGATTGAGTCATTGAATCATACTGGAAATTCTAAATTGCATGAAATCATTTATTTATACGCGACGCAAACGAATATATTGGGTCAATCGGGTGATCTATCAGTACTAACGTTTAGGCTCGTCTCTCACGAACTTTCTAATGGGCGGTCAGATTTTATTTCTGCAGTTGTGCAAACCTTTGAACCATGTTACCCTGGGCTAAGAATTTATTCCGCGCGTATAGGGCAAGCCATGTGAAGTCCGTGAAAAAAACTACTTAACTAGCAA